TTAACCTCTGTGCTAACAAAATTAAAGAAAGCATTCTTAGGTATATGCAGGGTAATAAGTCAGCTGTAAAACTGATGATGATTTATTCAAGTACCAAATTGCTTCTTGGCTTTGATAAAAGAAACCATGCAGTCATCTTGTCATGTTAGCTGAGAAATGGAAAGCAGTGGATATTTGCACACATACTTTCAATAATGTAACAGGAAGTGCATGCCAGGTTTCCATGGCATAATCCACTGGTAAGCATCATGACCCCATGATCCAACTACACCGCAACAACCCTCCTGTGAGCCCATGGTACTTTAGAGAAAAATGCCAGCATGCATCACAAGATACTACATAGTTTAGATATGCGCACTGTTTCATGTATGTGTAAATACAGATGCACCACAAATAATTGCAGTGTCACACATTTCCAAGGTGCATTGATTAAAACTATCATGAGTTAAATATGAACTGTATATCATTTTAGTTCAGTTTACTCTTTTATGTGTTTAGTACAGGGTCTTGAGGGTCTATAGGGTCTCACTATGTAGATCGGACTCACAGTGATGCTCCTGTTGTCAGTCTCCCTAGCCCTGGGATTACAGGCATGCACAGCCATGCCCATTCTCAATTGCTGTTTCAGCACTCCTCGGGCAGGACTGGCACAGCACCCCGGGGGTTGATCTCCTTCCCTTGTGCTCTGCCTAAGCAGGTGCTTTAGTCTGCTGAGATATCTGACCTGCCCTTGAGCTATATCTATTTTAGACTAAAATGAAAACAGATTTTTCAGTAGTACAGCCCAATGTCTGAAGTAAAGCAGCCTGACAAAGATCAATATCAAGACAATGAATGTTAAGACCGATATTGAAACCAGAATATAGATGAAAGAATAAAAGTTAAATGATATTGGGCTGACAAGATAGCTCAGCGAGCGAAGTTGATTCTTAGGCAAGCACAGAGGCCAGGATTGAATCCCTGGCACCACATTCTGTGCTGCCCCCCCCCCGGGCATGCTGAGCTGGTGACCAAGTCCCAGTATGGTGGTGCACACCTGCAATCCCATAGCTGGGGAGGCTGAAAACAAGAGGATCACTACCAGTCCAAGCTGTGAGTGAGACCCTGCACAAAAATTAAATAGATAAATAAATAAATAAATACATAAATATTTTCTCAGCATAAAGTTGCCTCTTCGTACATTATCAGTTGTGTATATTGGAGTGACCTGTGACATTTTT